CCAGAGGTGGGTAACTTTTTCCAGGCTCTGATCCCAGCTCCATTAATCTGTCCATAAGCTTCCTGGGGGTATTGAATTTGATTACGGGTATCAGCATAGGCTCCTTCTCCTACCAGCATTTCATAAGAAATATTAATCTGGGCAGCTCGATTACGAGAAGCTTGTTCCTTAGCCTTTTCATCATATTCTGATTTCCACAAGAGATAATCCCCTCCTGATAACCAAGCCTTGGTAATAGCTCTCCAATCATTAGGTGGGAGAGCCTCTGAGGCTATAGTTTCCAAGATGGTTAAAGGGGAAGTAGGCCCATACTGAGCACAGGCTGTTTTGAACTCCTTCAAGGTTTTAAAAGGAAGCGGGTCATAAGTACGCTCACACTGTCCCGTGTTAGGGTTCACCTGTTCCATAACGGGGAAGGCGTGAATGCCCAATTCCTCACCACACTTTCGTGCCTCCTGCAAAGCCATCTGGAGAGGGGAAAGTGGAACTGGTGCTGCACAAGGCAGCGGAGAGCAGCGGGAACGGCCCCCGCGGCTTCTCTTTTTCTTGCCAAGAAGCTTTAATGTTTCTAAAAAGTGTTCTAACACATCCTCTAATGCTTCTAAAAAGTGTTCTAACACATCCTCTATATTACTACCCTCTTCAGTTCCAGCAGAAAAATATTCTTCCTCCTCTTTTGCCTGAACAACACCTGTATCATCATCATGATAAAGGGCAGCAGCTTCCTCAAGATCCTCCTCATCTTGAGGATTTAATTTGTCTTTAAAATTTACATTATTCCTTTTTAATATACTGTCTTTTTTAGACCCCTGTTTTGTGCCATCACACTGCTTCTCCTTTTTGTTGGGCATAGACTTTAACATTTGCCCATAAAGGGCATTTTCCCTAGATTCTAACTGTCCCATGCTTTACTCCCGACTATCAAAAAAATTTCTCCTCCCTTACCTTAACGAGTGCACTCTTTATCCGGAGGAGTTCCTCACCATCTGCTTCCCAAGTCCTCAGGTCCGTGGTCTCCGGGTGCCAGTTTGTCAGGGCCAGCCTGACAGGTTGAGCTGGGCTGAGGTAGGGAGGTGGGAATTAAGAAAAGAAAGAAAGACAGGAGAGCGGGATTGGGAGGACTGCAGCTCAATCGAGGAACTGCAGCAAGTTTATTAACCACACAATGCTTTTTATACACAAGACACTGAATAGGAGGTCTGTCAAGAGGAATGTATTCTTTGTTCCTCTTAATCTCTAAGGGAGGGACAGAGCAGAAGGACAAATTCTCGGTACAGCAAATCTCAGTAAATAGTTACAGACTTCTTGATAAGCCATGAAAGGCTGTTCTCATTCTACAAAGGTTGCTCTCATTCTACTGATAACCGCCATCCAAACAAGTCTGGGAAAACTGTGGGTAAGGGTCCCAGCCTTGCTAGCCCCTTCAGGTGCAAGGACCATGTCAGCTTACACCCGGTCTCCAACAGCGTAATATGCTAATGATATGCTAAGGCCACTCAACCGCTCACTATGATGTGCATTGACCACCTGGGGGCAGATGCTCCAACCAGTAGGTTAGCTTGCTGCTGGGTTCCCACCGATCGGGACTGAGCGAGATGGGTGGGACATGCCCTGGAACCCTCCCGCGATCCCTCCCCAGCTGGCCAACCTCCCGTGTCCCTCCCCAGCCCCAATCATGCACCGGTTGGGTCCCTTGGCCTGGCCTGGGCCCTCTCGCAATCTCGGACTCCTCGGGGGATGTCGGAGAGCCGGTTTCCACCCAATCCCACAGGCCAGGCCGAGGGACCCCACTGGTGCATGAATTGGTGCACCGGGCCTCTAGTAATTAATAAATGTCTACATTTTAAATAAAAATTATTTAAATAAAGCTGAAATATTCATTCACTTTTTAAAATATTTAATTAAATTTGAGCAAATATATTATGAAAGTGAAAGTGTTCATCAGCCCAGTGTTTGCTGTCTATTTCTTGCCAATGTGAAGGATCATTAGCCTATTCCATGCAAGTTATGTCTAGACCCACATGTAAACAGCCTGAGAAGGATATGTTTAATACTGTAAACATTGCTCAGCCGCCACATGCACTGTTGTGAATTCCACAGGCACATGTGAGCACATGGAGAACAAGGAACTAGGATGCCAGGAGAAGCAGGAAAAGGATGCTGGCCTCTCCTTACTGGAAACGACACTTTGTTACACAAGGATATTGTGTATTCATGGAGAGGAAGGGTGCCACCTGTCCACCTGTCTTTTCTCCTGCCTAAGTATCCCTACCATACAAAGCCACCCCCACAGGCTCTAGGCCAGGGGTGGGCAACCTTTTTGTGAGTGCGTGCCAAAACCAGCAAAATCTCTGACTCAAAATTCTTCTGCGTGCCAACCCTAATTTTTTGAGAACATGTTACGCCTACTTGATATCTCTTAAGGTGTACTTATGTGAAGAACCTTGAAGAAATAATAAAATTCATTCGAGCGACAAAAACACAGTATATGATGATGAAAAATACATTTATTTTTTAATGTATACTGATAGTCTGACAGAAAACTTTATGATTCCGTTTGATATTATCAGTGGGACTTTTGCTGCTGCATCACTTTTGCTGATGACAGAGATTTTACATCAGGTTTATATTTCGTGACCTTCAGAGATATGCACGAGCTACTACTTTCATCCATCAGGCTACTCCTATTATGAGACTTAACAAAATTCATCACTGAGAACAAAGATTCACAAAGCGTATGTGAATGAAAACATGGAGAGTAACGCTGTTGCAAAGTTTTTTTAAACAGAAAAAATTTTCTGGAATGGCATTCCAAGTCCTCAATAGTTCGTTTTCGACACTTCTCTCTGGTACTCCTGTCTCTAATTGCATTTTTTCAATGTTTTCCAAGTCAATTCTAAGATCAATAAATTTCTGCTTCCAAATAAAAAAGTCGATATTAAGAAAAAAATTGTAAATGGAAGATTATAAGAGAGGGTTTCGCGTGCCAACAAAAGTTACTGGCGTGCCATGTTGCCAAGGGTTGCCCACCCCTGCTCTAGGCTATCAGCCCACAACCCGCCAGGACAGGCAGAGGGTTCAGCTCCCATTTCCAGGACACAGGACAAACGCTGTGGAGAAGCACTTCCCAGGGCCTGAGCTGAGTCAGTCACCCCACACAGCAGATGTTTAGGCTCACCGGCTGAGCTCTGGATCCTAAGTGGCAGACGGGCCCTTGTGTTCTTTTATTTTCAAATATGTTTTTACTGATTTTTAGAGAGAGAGGAAGGGAGAGGGGTAAGGGATAGAAACATCGATGAGAGAGAAACATCATCAATTGGCTGTCTCCTGCATGCACCCTACTGGGGATGGAACCTGCAACCCAGTCATGTGTCCTGATCGAGATTTGAACCAGTGACCGCCCGCTTGGTTCATGGTGCTCAACCACTGAGCAACACCTGCCGGGCCCTTGTGTTCTTTAACAGATTTATTTTTGTGTGCTCATGATCTATGGGATCCTAACGTGCAGGGCTCCTTTTGACCAGATCTAAGAGTGCTTCTTGGGTGCGTGGAAAACTCCCATGATTATGGAAGAATTATGCCCTCTGGGAAGGAAGGGCTTCCCTGGAACATGCCTCTAAAACAGCTCAGCATGTGCCACTGAAATGACTAGTTTGTACATGTGCTCCTGTGAGATAGAACCAGGGTCTCAAGGTCTGTATGTCTCTTACTAAATGCTATTCTTGCTAAATGTTAAAATGTAGCCTAGTATTTTGCAGATGCAGCTGTAATCAGGGTGAGCTTGACAAGCACTCAACCAGATAAATGTAGCCAACTGCAAAGAAGATATGATGCACAGTTAACCAGAGAATGCATATAAGCAATCGCTAAGCCTCCCTTCTGGGAGACGGAGCTTTGGGTGTGAATCCCTGTCTCCTTTCCTTGCTGCAAGAAAACTACCTAATGCCAATCACGTCTTGTTCTGGAATGGAACAGCCCAAGTCCCAGACCCCTTGAGTTCGGTAACACTCCCATTCTAAACCATTCAAAACAGTCTCCTGGCGGGCCTATACCTTACAAACAAGATTTATCTCCACTTTACACTCTGTTGTATTTTAGAGGTAATACTTGCTTAAAGTGTCAAGTAAAAATTTATATTGAATATGTTTTTCCAATTGCTCCTACTCTCCTGTTTAGGTGTCTGGTGGAAAGTTCTGGGCAAGGACCATGGTTCGCATCCTGGGTGGCACAGCCCAGCAGTGGGCCCATCTATGCACCCTGGGCCATGCTGTGGGATTTCACACGGCTGTGCACCAGCTGCTCCAAGGCTTGACTCTGGGACCCAAAGCCTTGTGATTTTGAGAGTTCTTTTTGCTAACTTTTGAGTGACTCTCATCACAGCTCCTCTTTTATTTGCAGAATCTGAGTACTGACCTGGAACAGTGGAAGCCTTAAAAAGGATGGGAAAGGCCTCCTTGAAGCTGGGACATGAGAGGTTTGGGAAATGTTAGTCTTGAGGCCTCTAATTGATAGACAATGCCGCCTCAGAAGGCATGTCTTTGTGCCATCTCTTACAGGATCAGTGAAGACTTTGAATAAAAATGAAAAAGATTCAATCTCACATGCTTACAATTCACATTAAAACTTCAGAGTTAACCTTGCATTGGTTGTGCAGAAAATGACTAAAATATTTCAGACTCTCACAGTTCTGTTGTGAACATGTCTTTAAAACAAAGCAATTTGGAAGTAAAGTAAGCTATCTTATGTGGCCAAAAGTCCTTAAGGAAGTAAACCAAGGACACTAAAATTCTCCCAGGGAAACAGATAAACAGGGAAGTAGTCATGTGCTTGAGTCAAGCCCAAGCCAAAGGTGGTATTTAAGGGCTCCCCAACAGAGGGGGTATCAGACCTTCCTCACCTCCTGAGTCTCCCTCCTCACATCTCCTGAGTCCTCTCTACTGACACCATGGGGTGCTGTGGTTGTGGTGGCTGCGGTGGTGGCGGTGGCTGTGGTGGCTGTGGCGGCTGTGGCGGCTGTGGTGGCTGTGGTGGTTGTGGTGGCGGCTGTGGTGGCTGCACCACCTGCAGATGCTACCGGGTCGGCTGCTGCTCCAGCTGCTGCCCCTGCTGCTGTGGCTGCTGTGGGGGCTGCTGCAGTGTCCCCGTGGTCTGTTGCTGCCGCCGCTCCTGTGGCTGTGGCTCCTGTGGCTGCGGCTCCTGTGGCTGTGGCTGTGGCTGTGGGAAGGGCTGTTGTCAGCAGAAGTGCTGCCAGTGTAAGTGCTGTTGTCAGAAGCAATGCTGCTGCTAGGCGGCCCGGCCTCCTGGCAGGTGCTGCAGGGGGTGGGATCACTCCTGTGCTTAGATATTTAGACATCCTGAACTTTCATCTCTCTGGTTCACCTACATATTGAGCTTGTGATTTAATAGAAAGATACCTGATTAGAAGTCAGAAGCCCCCAAATCAAGTCCATGCTCTGCCAGAACAGCCTGATTATGAATGTCACCTTAGCTTCCCTGAGTTTTACTGTCATACTTACTCATCTGTAAAATAAGCTTGAGCTAAGAATCTTTAAAGACCTTTATATTTTTAGTGGTATATGAAACTATTGAGTTCTCAAAACTAAACTCACAGGTTCTCTACCCGATAGACACTTTTGTATATGTTGGCTGTACTGGCATTTATATACACACAGTATTTATAAAGTACATACATAAACATCTCTCAATCCAACTCGATCTATCAATTGTACTGCAATAAGAAGAGGCCACAGCTTGCTCCTTAGGGTGTGACAATTTACATTAATGAGCTCAGTGGAATGAAATAATGCTTTTTAATGTATTTAATTCTTTTGAAATCTTTACTTTTCTGTTTGTAGAACTCCTGCACTTGTGTTATTACTGACCTTGGTTATATACTGTATGCTTCTTACTGTTTTAGTATTCTCTAATACTCCTAAATATAATTTCTGAATAAAACACCAAGAAAAAGAATTTCACTGTCTTTGATTTGTTTTTTATGTTGTTTTGAGGAGGGGTGGGAGTTGCAGACTTTAGGAAGGTTCTAAGGTAAAGAACAAAAGGATACACTGAATGTACTGAGGTAGTGCTACTTACTGTAACAAATTTACACAAAAATGTAAAGTGACTTAATAGAGTAGACATTTATTTCCTGTCGATGTCAATTATCCTGAGCGGTTCTGGTGGGCAGAAAGGGAAGGAGTTGGGGAGCTGTGCTCTGCTCAGTCATTCAGGGATCTAGGTTGATGCGTATTTTCAACATATGACTTTCAAGGTAAGTTTGTTGTCTTCATAATGTAAGTGAAAAAGAAGAGAAGGGACAACACCCATCACTTCTTAACACACTGCTGACGGATCACGAGAATTCTCGTGTTTTCTGTTCTAAGGCTTGTAGCCAATCACAAGAATTCTTTAAAAAGATATTGGTTTGTAAGAACATGTAATAAATAACTTCAAAATACAATGGGTATTTAATTTTAAAGCATGCCTTTAACATTTATGTAAAATGGTTTTTGTACCCGTTCAATAGAAACTTATCTGGTCACTGGGCAAAGCTAGCAATAAAACTACTGGTCCGCAATGTGTTAAGATCCTTAGTGTGAAAGTGACACAGTCTATTTCCCTCACTTCCCATTGGTGAGTAGTAGTCACATGGCCCAATGTAAATGCATGAAGAGCTGGGAAATGTAGTTCATGACTGGCAGACATTTTCCAACAATTATCTCTCTATATAAAAGCCCAGTGACTGGAACAGCAGAATGACCAGAATAACCAGAACGACCAGAGGCTATGACATACACTGCGGTAGCCAACCAGCCTGATCTGGGCCCTGATTGTTGCCCCCCTGAGCTGGCCTGGACCCCGATCGGCCCCCAACACCCCTATCAGGGGCGGCGCCTGCTGCCAACTATCCGTGGCTCCTCCCCCCGTGCCGGCCCTGTCCGATGGATCCCCATCGGGACGGGCCAGTTGGACCCCACCCATGCACAAATTCGTGCACTGGGCCTCTGGTCTACTATGAAAAGTAAAAGCATGAATGTTGATGGACAAGTAGCTGTGTCTGCATATAAAACCCATGTCCTAATAAAACCTTTAATGGGAGTGTATTTAGGACAGGATGCCTGACAGAACATGGCTAGGCATTTCATACCTATTCATACCACATAAATTCCTCCTGGGGTAGTAACACAGGGTACTGTGGTGCATACTTGATGCATGGATGGAGCTACCTTAAGGTCATGTGAATCTTTCATGGGGTGGAGCTTCAGAGATAGGGGTTGAGAAGATGGAGCAGAAAATAGCAGGAGCTACCTTCTTCTATACGGTGTAATAGGAAATGCGGTTCCTGATGTTTGGCTATAATCCTCACTGCTCCCAGGACTATGGTATGCAGGGAGCTAGGCAGGGGAGCGATGGGCTTAGGGAGAGGATAAAACAAGATGCTTTTGCATCACCTCTTGTTTTCACCAATAGTACAAATAAGACTTGGCTGGGACTCCAGTCTTCCTCATACTAACTCTTTCCTATCTCTTAAAGAAACAAATCTTCCTAATACTCTTGAAGTGTTCTCATTGGAACTAAACAGGTAGTTTCAACTTGTTTTTAAAATGTTACATATCGCCGAAACCGGTTTGGCTCAGTGGATAGAGCGTCGGCCTGCGGACTGAAGGGTCCCAGGTTCGATTCCGGTCAAGGGCATGTACCTGGGTTGCGGGCACATCCCCAGTGGGGGGTGTGCAGGAGGCAGCTGATCGATGTTTCTCTCTCATCGACGTTTCTAGCTCTCTATCTCTCTCCCTTCCTCTCTGTAAAAAATCAATAAAATATATTTAAAAAAAATAAATAAATAAAATGTTACATATCATTCTAGACATGCAAGTCTAAATGTCCAGACATTCTAGATATCTAAGATATGTAAGAAATACAAACATAATTCAAATTATTTTAAAAGGACCTGTTACATGGTCATCCCAGATAATCTACAGAAAATTTTCTTCATACAGTTTAAACAAGATCACTATGATGAACTGTCTTGCTCAATATCCATTTTTATGTCCTTCTAGCTAGATTGCCTTTCTGTATGGCAGAAGCCAAAATGATTGAAAATTACATTTCCTAGAATACTCTAAATCTAAGCTCTGGATTTTGCAACAATTAGCTCCACCCTTGAGAAATGTGGAAGACAAAAATGAGGTGGAAGTCCTCTTTCTGCTACTTTTGTCTGTTGCTGTTAAGAAAGACCGGAGTGTTGAATTTTCTGCACTGCAGCGATGTCCCTGGGTCCAGTTACTAGTTTCACGGAAGTGAAGAAACAGTTGTAGTGTCAGCAGACATCACAGGCAGTGCTCCAGAGTTTAGTCAATAGCTTTGAGGGTGTATAGGGACAGGAGCCACAACAGTGGCAGTGTCTTCCTGGACTGTAGCTACAGTGGTGTGTGCTTGGACTCGACGAATTTCCATGCCTTTTGACTACTGCAGAGGCAGCAGCAGCCTGGACCATTCAGCATTCCTGTCCTGTAAGGCATTCCCAGGGGACAGGAATAGGAAATGCCCCAGCAGCCCTTCTAACAATTTTGTATCCATAATCCCCCAATTACTTCATCCCCTTGCTTAGCATAGCTAGGAGAGTTTTGGTTTTCTGCACCTGTCAGAAAAACCCTTCTGACCATCTCTTTGTGTCAAATTCTAGCCATCCTCCAAAACTGAGAGGAATCCTAGTTCCCAGCCCATCTCGAGAGAATCCTTCCTTTTTCTGAACTGCTTTTGCTGCTTCAGTGTGGTAGGGGACAAGATATTTGTATATTTCTATCCTTGAGTTTAGGAACTTACAGTTTTAGCATTTTTGTTTGCAAACAAATGGAAGCCCACTTACAGTAGTATAAAGGGGATAATCTACACTAATAAAAGAGAAAAATGGTAATTGGCGTACGACCGTTACCCTTCCCATTGGCTAATCAGCGTATCCTTATGCAAATTAACTGTCAGCCAAGATGGCGGCCGGCAGCCAGGCAGTTGGAAGCGAACATGAGGCTTGCTTGCTGCAGACTGCAACGTTCCCCGCCTGACTTGCCGGCCTCTGAGCTGGCAGTTTGAAACATTCTAACAAATATAGCCGGCTGGGATCTCAGAGCTGAAGTTATACATTGTTTCGATTATAGAACGGCAAACAAACCAGCAGCCGAAGCCTCAGAGCTAGAGCCAGAGCTAAAGCTGGCCCAGAAGAAAAAAAGAAAAGAAAAAAAGGAGTGGTTGGGAGCTTCCCGCCAGCCTGAAAGCAGTCAAAACCGCCAGCCTGAAAGCAGCCCTCAGCCCCTCACCCAGACTGGCCAGGCACCCCAGTGGGGACCCCCACCCTGATCCAGGACACCCTTCAGGGCAAACCAGCCGGCCCCCAGGCCTCTGGCCAGGCACCCCAGTGGGGACCCCCACCCTGATCCAGGACACCCTTCAGGGCAAACCAGCCGGCCCCCAGGCCTCTATCCTATATAGTAAAAGGGTAATATGCCTCCCAGCACCGGGATCAGTGGAGCCGAGAGGTCTCCTGGCACCAGATCAGCATGACAGGGTGCAGCGCCAAAACCCCCTGATCGCCCTGCGGCTCTGTGTGTGAGAGGGTGTGGCATCCCAACCCCCTGATTGGCCCTGCTCTGTGTGTGACAGGGTGCGGCGCCCCAACTCCCCCCCCCCCCTCCACGGGCCCTGCTCTGTCTGTGACGGGGTAGAGCCATAACCTCCCCATCGGCCCTGCCCTGAGTGTGACAGTGGTGGCGCCCCAACCCCCTGATCGGCCCTGCTCTGTGTGTGACAGGGGGCGGTTCCCTAACTCCCCTATCGGCCCTACTCTGTGCGTGACGGGGGAGCTCCCCAACCCCCTGATGGGCCCTGCTCTGTGCATGAGAGGGGGAGCTCCCCAACCCCCTGATTGGCCCTGCTCTGTGAGTGACAGGGGGCAGCGCCCAACCCCCTGATTGGGCCCTGCTCTGTGCATCACAGGGGGTGGTGCCGCAACCTCCCCATTGACCCTGCCTTGAGTGTGATAGGGGGCGGTGCCCCAACCCCCCAATCAGCCCTACCCTGAGCGTGACTGAGGGTGGCATCACAACCTCCCAATCCGCCCTGCTCTGTGCATGACAGGGGGCGGCGCCCCAACTCCCCAATCAGCCCTGCTCTGAGCCCGACCAGGGGCTGCACCTAGGGATTGGGCCTGCCCTCTGCCACCCGGGAGCAGGCCTAAGCCATCAGGTCGTTATCTCCCGAGGGGTCCCAGACTGCGAGAGGGCACAGGCCGGGCTGAGGGACCCCCCCTTCCCCCCCGAGTGCACAAATTTTTGTGCACCGGGCCTCTAGTTTATTATAAGAATATAGAGGCATCTCACAGAAAACAAGGACAGGACCTGCAGTCAGTAGGTGTCTACCTGGAGTCATTTACTCCATAGAGTAGAAATAAGAAAGTAGAAAGCCTTTGAGAAACCAGGCAGCTACCTTTTCTCTGCCTCCATCTAGAACAGGGGTGAGGAACTTTTTTCTGTCAAGGGCCATTTGGATATTTATAACATCATCATCAGGCCATATAAGATTATTAACTTAAAAATTAACCTGCTATATTTGGTCAAACATTTAATTAACTAACCCCTAATGCCTTGGCAGGGCCAGACCAAATGATCTCCCGGGCCTTAAATGGCCGTGGGCCAGATGTTTCCCACCCCTCACACTTCCTGCACACCTGCATCTTCACCATCTCCTCCTACTCATTTTCTGCAGACTGCTTGTTTCTCCTGGTGCAGCTCATTAATTTATGATATGGTAGAGTCTGCAGGTTGCCTCCCCAGTACCCTCTGTCTCCGACTTTTGTAGGATGGGGTGCTACTCTCTAAGCCCATTGTACCTGAACTTACAGATGGACTCCACCCCTTCCTCCCTCCCTCCCTCCCTCTCTTTCATCATTCCTTCCATCCTTCTTTCCTTCCTTCATCATTCCCAACAGCATTTGCTGAATCTGTGCTATGGACTGGGATGGGAGGAAGGCATGGTAAATATTAGAGCTGCCTAAAGTTCATTTTGCTTCTGGATAAAAGTTGGTTTATATTTCATCACCCATTTGAACTGAAACATAACTGAGTAACTCATTTGGCCAATAAAGCATGAACAAAAATGCTCAGACTGAGTATGTGGCTCATCATGTCTTTTCACTCTGCCTCTACAATTGTGGAAGCCAGAATGGAGATGATGGCTGCCTCTGTGAGTATGGGACTCTCAGCAACTACCATGAGCAGAGCCCCCTTGTCAATTCATGATGAACAATTAGCATAAGCGAGAACTTTTGTATTTAAAGCCTATTGCACTGACATACCTTTGCTTGAGAAGCTCACAAACTAGTAGAAAGACAATTGGGAAGCTTGGTCTAAAAATATTCTGTAAATGACCAAGTAAGTACTTAGAGTTTAAAGAAAATAAAACATCATCTCTCCTCCAGCCTCTCTCCTATTCCTATGTTTGATTCTGGTGTCCATATTTGAACACTTTCAGTCTAGTAGCATTGACCAAACCTCCCACAAGTCCTAAGTGGGTTACCTCTAAATGAGTTAGTCTGCAAGACTGGAATAATATGACATGAAGAAACTTACAATTTTGTGTATTCCCTAAAATTTTGACTAATCAAGAACATTTGCAGCAGAGGAAATACTTTCCCCCCCAATCTCCTATTTGTTTTCTTGTTAAACAATTTCAAAGTAAAGAACTTCACTACTTGGTAATGTCAACACAACAGGAAAAAATAGTTTATGTTAACTGGGTATTCTTGCTTTTACTTCTATAAGGTACACTGGTAAAATATGTTAGAGGAGCATTTTTTAACCCCTTCTTCCTTGTTCTTAGTTACCATCTGCCTATTTTCATGCATACATTTATCTAACAGAAACCATAGACCTTTTCCCCGCCTTCCTTTCCCAATCTCATCATAATATAAACTTATCTTTACTTCCTGTCCTCACAATAAGGTCTGCCCTCTTGGACTCCACACCAACTCCCGAAATTAAATTTCATAAGTGCTAAACTTTAACTAGGTTAGGAGGCTCAGGATAAAGGCAAGACAGTGCCACACAGACAGCCACTTGAGCAGCATTTCTAACTGGACCAGGGTTGACCATGACCTGCTGTGAAGGATGGACATCCTGCAATGGATTCAGCCTGTTGGTTCTACTTCTGTCGGGAGTAGCTCTCAATGCAATACCTCTCATTGTCAACAGACTTGAGGAAGGCGAATTTTTTAAAAACCCCATCTCTTGCTTTGAGTGGTGGTTCCCAGGAATTATAGGAGCAGGTCTGATGGTGAGTAACTTTTGACTCGATGTGGAGAAAAGTGCTTTACCGAAGTCCTATAGACCATCTTTCAGACTTACAGTGAGCTGAGCTGTGTCTTGACTTAAGATACAGTGAGGAGTGGTGGTATGGTATTCATTTATATTGGTTATCAATGAGGAATGTCAATTTAAATAAATTAAATATGTGGTACAGGCTAGGGAGCTTGATCAAAAAAAGATTAAATTTGATAAAGGTTGGTTGGGCTGCTCTGGCCAGTTTTTCTCAGTAGTTAGAGCATCAGCCCAAGGACTGAAAGGTCACGGGTTTGATTCCTCAGTTGCAGGTTCGATCCCTAGCCCTGGTCGGGGCTCATGTGGGAGGCAACCAACCAATGTGTCTCTCTCATGTCGATGCTTCTCTCTCTCTCTCTCCCTTCCACTCTCTAAAAATCAATGGAAAAATATTGAGGGTTAAGAAATGAAGTTGGTTGGGTTATTACCTAGCACATTTCTTTGCACTAGGGCTGCTCTTCCAAGTTTTGTAGTGTTAGGGAACTTTTGAATGAATTCCCTCAACTTTCCTTTGCTGAAGCCATGCTCAAGGTATTCACAGGGAATACAGCAGGTGTGGGAAGCGCTCAGTAGGAATGAGAAGAAACATTCTGGATGATGATAATTGTGCAGCATGAATATGGTGTTGCCTGCACCAAAGGGAGTTGGCCTAAGAGATTTGGGACCTGAAATTCTGGCTCTCTGACCTCAATGACTTCTTGACTCAGATCTTACATATACCAGGACATCATGGTGCTTGTTGAATGTTAAGTTTGATAATTATTGATCGGTCTATCTTTGTTGATGTTTGCAGCAGAGCAGTGTAATACACAACTCTCCAATGTATCACCCGATAGATTTATAGACCCTCTCCTGGGAATTCTGATGAAGTGGCCTGGGTAGGACCCACCTGTGGAGAGGAATAAATACTGTTTTTGGACCTGGCAGAGAATCTCAGTTCTAATTATGTCTCTAATATATTTCTCTTTGCAAGTCACTTATCTTATGATTTTGTTTCCATGCTCATAAAATGGGGATGTGGATACTGAAGTTTGGAAATTCAGCATTCAAGAGGCTGCTTTTGTTTGTTCTACCACTTGGGTGCTACCTAAAGGGTCTGGTTAATGTCAGAAAAATGAGCCTTTGTTTAGATGTGTGTTCGTGTGTGTGTGTGACAGTTCAATTACCTATATTATCAAAGTGTTGTACAGATGCTGAAACATGGAGATTTTTAAAGAATTTCCAGACACTGTTTTCTACCTGCATCCCTAATTCTTAATGATGATCAGTGACTACTGCTGGTCTTATCCCCAGACTAATGTGAAAACACTCTTGAGTGGTTATACATTAATCTTTAGAGAAATATTTGTTCTTCGGCTCATACACTGGACTTGAGACTACTCTGGCTTCAAAAAGCCACTCCAGTAAGGCATCCCCCAAAAGTTGATGGTTTCTGTACCTTTAATATCATGAGCAATATATTCACCCTGCTTGGTAGAAAGAGGTACTTACAGGAAAAGCTTTGGGGAAATTGTGGACTTTTTCTTCAAATTGCCACGAACGTTCTCTTTCAGGCTGAGAGAAAGCACAGAGCCCAACACAGTGATGCGACTGCAAATCTTGTCTGCTCTGCCCTTCCAGAGGCTTCTGTCTACTTGAATAGTGTGAGCTTCCTTTGCATCGGCTTAGACAGAAGCCAGGCACAGCTGGCCAAGACTTAGCAACAGTGGCAATTCCCATGAAGCTCCTAAAAGTTCCCATGTTCAAACAATCCATTTAGAATGACTCGTGTAGCTTTAGATACAAATGGACTTTACTACAATACAAACAGATTTCTTGTCAGCATGAAAGGAGCCTGATGAAGAAGGCAGGGGAGCAGGGGGTGAAGAGGACAAAGGCATAGAGAAAGGCACAGAGACCACTGCTAAGTGCTAACTACTGGGTTCATGCTTTACAATGTTATCTCATCTACTCTCTATAATAATCTGGCTGAGCGGTTATTATCAACTGTATTTTAACAGACAAGCAAACAGAAGGTTAGGAGGGTTAACAAGATCACACAGTAGTTGTGAGACCCAGTTCCAGACTTATCTGACTCCCAAGTTCTGTTTTCCTCAGGATTAGCACCATAATCCACCTGTTTCAGGCTAACCAAGGGGGATGGTGCAATTCATAACTTAATCCATAAACTTAAGTCACCAGGAAACTGAAGCACAGAAAGGTTCTATAAACCTGTGAAAGTTCCAGAGAATCTGCACTTCCTTGTTCCGTGACTAAATTTACTTAATTGCCCTCCATAAATATTAACGAAGAGTATTACACAAGTCTATCTCTATTACTCAGTGTGGTAGAATGCCATCAAAGCATCAAATAACTCTTTGAAAAGTTCAATAGGCACTTTACAGTGAACCTCAAACTCTAGACTAGGTTCACAAGCAAACAGGTGGGTGACAGAAGGGCTCAGAATACAGGTGTATTTTCCTGGTCCTCAGCTATCTATACTCTATAGGGTTTTAATAGTCTACAGCTCTCCTGTCCTTCATTATAACAGATACATCTATATTTATGTATAGTATGGAAGAATATCTTTTCAAAGGGAATTGTGTTCTTTCCAACATCTGTCAAAATACTGAACTCTCAATATACTCGTAAATACACAGAAAAGTGAGTAAAGAACTGTGTGATAAACACTTTTGTTGTAGTTTTTGAAATCTTTCCAAAATTGCTTTAACATTTTAAATTGGTATTGCTTCAAAACCAGATTTCGTGGGAAGTAGTAAATAACAACAACTATGGAATTAATTACTGATTACTTTATAAAATACATTCATTGTGTTTTTATGACTTACCCAAAACAGGTGAATCTTTTTATCTTTTGAAGTCATGACTAAGAGTGTTATGCAATTATCTTCAACTATTTTATGTTAAGTGAAAAAAATCAATAAATATCATCTTTCATAGCACTAAAAAGAGACTTAAAATGTTCCTAAGAAAAAACAGGGGTGGGCAAAAGTAGGGTTATAGTTGTAATACAAATACATTAATACATAATCCTATCTAATAAGAGACAAACATGGTAATTGACCATACCTTTGCTATGCCTCCCATTGGCTAATCAGCACGATAAGCAAATTAACCGCCAACAAAATGGCGGCTAATTTGCATACTGCAGGCAGGGCGGGGCAGCGCCATACCCCCTGCCCTGCCGCCATCCGGGCCTGCTATCTGCGACCCGGGGCGGCGGGTGTCCGTGTGCGACCCGACCTGGGGTGGCCGGGCGTTGCAGCAGCGATCCGCCGGCCCGCCCGGGCGTCCCGTGTGTGACCTGTCCGAGGCGTCCCGTGTGCAACCCAATCCGGGGCGGCGTCCCAACCCCCTGATCGGCCCTGCTGTGTGTGCGACCCGGGGAGGCGAGGCAGGCACTGAGGGATTGGGCCTGCCATCTGCCACCCGGGGAGTGGGCCTAAGCCAGCAGGTGGTTATCTCCTGAGGGGTCCCAGACTGTGAGAGGGCACAAGTGGGGCTGAGGGACACCTCCCCCAGCCCCCCTCCCCCGCCAGTGCACAAATTTTTGTGCACCGGGCCTCTAGTCCTATATAATAAAAGGGTAATATGCAAATCAACCGAATGGAGGAACTACTGGTTGCTATGATGCACACTGACCACCAGGGGGGAGACGCTCAATGCAGGAGTTGCCCCCTGGTGGTCAGTGCACTCTCACATGGGGAGCACTGTTCAGCCACAAGCTGGGCTGACAGCTGGTGAGCGCAGTGGCCTGCCTCTGTGGCAGCGCTAAGGATGTCTGACAGGGAGCAGGCCTAAGCCACAGTTGGACATCTCCCAAGGACTCCCATACTGCGAAAGGGCGCAGGCCGGGCTGAGGGTCCCCCCTCCCCCCCAAGTGCATGAATGTCATGCATCGGGCCTCTAGTTAATGAATAATAATACAAAAATAAACTGTGTTTCGGGTATTCACAACTATATACTTGCTTTTCCCATCCCTGTATTAAGGCCATTTGATATAAGATTAACTGTAAACCTGATCTTAATCACGCTTATTCATTGAGTACACTTATTATACAATGGTAATTCATCAATTATTAAGTCTGAGAAAAAAATGTTGAATGTTAAACAAGTTAGGTGTTTGTGTAACAAGCATTTGCAAAATATAGGGGTTTTTTTTTGAAATATATTTTATTGATTTTTGCAGAGAGGAAGGGAGAGGGACAGAGAGTTAGAAACATCGATGAGAGAGTACCATCGATCAGCTGTCTCCTACACACTCCCTACTGGGTATGTGCCCGAAACCAAGGTACATGCCCTTGACCGGAATCGAACCTGGGACCCTTCAGTCCACAGGCCAAAGCACTATCCACTAAGCCAAACCGGTTAGGGCAAAATATAGTTTTTATTCTTGTGATGAGCTGTGGCTTTGGGTTGCTCTCAGGGTCAGGTACTTAGAGGATCCCTAGGGTTTGAATTGTGTTACCGAGTTTCAGTGGTCCATAGCTTTTCTGTACTGCATTTGTAAGTCATACACTCATTTCTAAAACTGCATAAAAGGATGGGTTTCTGTAAGGAAGAATGAACAATACTACTTCTTTATAAAAGCAAATGACTGTCAGGGCTGTTAGTTTCACAAAAACTCTCATGCATTCAAATGTGCTTAGGAATTAAAAAAAGAGTATTCTCATAAGTACTAATTTTGACAGATTATCTGGAAGATTTATGACTCAGTCACACATACACCTATACACTTTCTCATATTTTAATATCCATTCCTTAGAGAGCATTTCAATTTCTACAGCTCTGAACGGGCAAAAGAGTTGAAAAACAGTGAGTTGTGATGTAACAAAGATGTGTTGACATGCCATGAAGTCAGCTGGGAGGAGACTTCATGGCATGTTATTATTACTTTATAAAACCCTTTGCAAGGGAAGAGAACTATAAAAATAAATATTCAGCATCTCTGAAATAAATCCTAAAAAGTCAGCAGAGTTTAATTTACATCAATAAGTAAAATGAAATGATTCATCCACTTAAGCTGTAATTTAATGTTGATCTAACTTTCTTCTAAGAGATTAATTTTCTAAATCAGTGATTGATAATTTTTTTTCTGTAAAAAAACAACATATCATGAATATTTTAGGCTTTGAGAGCCAGACAGTCCCTCTCACAGCTATTCAACTGCACTGTTGGTGTGAGAGTAGTCGTAGACAATATAAGTGAATGGGCAAGGCTGAGTTCTAATAAAACTTTATGACAAAGAAGTGGTGGGCCATAGTCTGCCAGTTCCTGTAAATGAATTGTTTCTTAAGCTCAGAAGGCAGTATAGCTTATGAGTACGACAAAAGAGATTTAGTCCATTAACACTGACAATCTATTTTGGGGCTACATTTTCCCTCCCTTTTCCTCTGGGCTCTTAGCTCCACCCCAGAATGGCTGGGCTGCCCTACATACATGTGACCTTTGAATTATAAAGGTGTTGGAATTCAAGGTAATATGTAAGCCAAGTTTGATAACAATACAAAGTGTTCTCCACAAGAGCCATGGGGTCAGCACATGGTCAGAGGGGGTGAAGTTTGTTAGGAAAGCTGCCTTGTCGGGCATTAAATGCTAGACCTGCTCTGGAAAAGCAAAGGTAGATGTGGTCTTGGGAAAAAGAATTTGGGGAAGGAACGGAGGACAATGAGATGAGCCGGGGCGGGGCGGGGGTGGGGGTGGGGTGGGGGATGAGAATGAACCAACTCTGTGAAGGAACAGAGGAGAACTATAAGAATTATCCAGTGTGGATAGCAGTGAAGAGTCTGGGCTTTGGAAACCAAATGCCTCGCTTCAAATCCAAACTCTTCCACTTTCTTAGAGAAGTTACTCAAACTTTCTATGCCTCAGTTTTCTCATTGTAAGATGAGGATAAAAAGAGGCTGGTTGAGGCCGGAATGAACTGAAACATGTACAGCACCTATGACAGTGCCTGGCATGTCATCAGAATTCAATAAAATGTTAGAAAATAAGGGCAGGAGGAAAGACAGAACTAACTACTCAAAGGCAGCTGTGCTGAGGTGGCAAAAAAACCTCACCTTATGGCTAACATTTCTTAAGTGGAAGGGAAGTAATTTACAGCCCACTCTTCAATGACACAAAGCTTCTTCCAGTAAGAATTTCTAGTCACAGCTGCTGACTAGATAGGACTGAAAATTTAAACTAAGTCCTCAGAATGTGAGGTCACTTCTTACAGCGTTCCTCGGCAGAATATATTTCCCTTGATACAGAATGCAGTATGTACACGATTGCTGAACATCAACGTAAAGGAAGGCCATTACATATCATGTGTAAAGGAGTAGAAAGTAGAATGTGGAACCAAAAATATTTCCCAAATCCTAAGCTGGGAACCAGAGAGATGGCAGTGACCCAGGAGTGAGAGGAAAGTTAGGGAAGAGAAAGGAGTGGTGATGGAATTCTTAGTTCCCAACTGTCAGGCAAACAAAACCAGCAATTTCCTTTCTGGATGCTTGCCAGATTCAGACAACTTTTGGGAAATTAGATAGTGGCTGCAGATTATAATAACTAAAAGAAAAAAAGTGAATTTTAGATGACATAACCAATTCTTTCAGAGATACTCCTTCCAAAATAATGACTAAATAACTCACTCAATTTAAAATCCAAGTCTCTCTAGCCCAGCTGGTGTGGCTTAGTGGTTGAACTTCGACCCATGAACCAGGAGGTCAAGGTTGGATTCCCAGTTAGGGAACATGGCGAGGTTGCAGGCTCCATCCCCAGTAAAGGGTGTGCAGGAGGCAGCTGATCAATGATTCTCTCTCATCATTGATGTTTCTATTTCTCCTCTCATTTCCTCTCTCTCTGAAATCAGTAAGAAAACATATTAAAAAAAAATAAAATCCAGGTCTCTCTAAAGATGACCCAGAGTAAAGTGATGTAGTTGGGAGAATTTGAAACTGCTCTCCTGAAATCCCACCATCCCTTCCAGCTCTTTAATCTTTAGGGTTGAAATGGAATCACAAGATCAAGGACATTGCCACACTTCCTTCTTGTTCTCTTGAGTCTTGATTTCCCACAACTGCTGGTAAATAGAAGGCAGAGATGACTGCTTTCTCATCTGATGAGAAGTAGTAAGATTCATCTTTCCTGTTGATGTAATTTCCAGGCTATTCCAGCAACAACAATGTCTTTGGCAGCGAGGAAAAGAGCGTGCTGCAACAACAGAGGCGGGGTGAGTACCGAGCGGCGAGGGGAGGGGGGGAAAGTGCACCAACCGTATGGACAGCTGAGCAAAGCCACTTGGGGCTTCGGTAGCTACCAAATCACTGTGTGGTTCCAGTGGTAGGACTATAGTCTTAGGAACGTCCTATTAGGATGCTTGTATGATGATACAGAAAGTGTGAGGGTTTTTTTTTTTTCCTCCATAAAAGTGTAACTTTGGAGCCAGCCTCACACCTCTCCCCAATCGTCAGTTCCACTATCTAAAGGTTTTCAAAGGAAGGAGATTTAGAAATCACACCCAGAGCTGCAACCAATTTCAGAATAACAAGACTTGTTATTTTTGTGCTGTGTATAAAATACTTAAGGAAAACGTAACCTCAGTTCTCTCATGCATATGAAAGATTGGTTTGCTAGGCTCGGAATGCTCATCGCTTGATGCGATTAAATTAAAGAAGATTTCTAACATTTAGTACATACCTATTATGAATAAGATTTTAACTAAGTTAAAAGGAAAATAATGAATACTTATTAACCTTCTGTCACTATGCTCAGAACAGATTCAAATAAGTTATCTTATTTCTTTCAAAACCCTTTAGTTTTGAAATATGATCCGCTTTATTGACCGAGAAACTGATGCTCAAAGAAAGCAAATAACTTGCCAGTGTAGCACAGCCAGTAAGTGAACTTTTATCTCAATCCATCAGACTCTCAAAGTCACAATGTCTACACTACTGATGCCACGAACATTGTTAATAACACTGTGTGCGGGCTCATAATTCTCTAAGGAAGGCGTAGACGAATAAATGAGCACTCACAGTGAGTTCCTGGCTGAGCTTGGGGTTTGAAAGCGATGGTTCTCAGCCTGATGGGGATGTTAGAATCACCAGGGAGGATCTTAAAAATATCTCTCCACCTCCACCCCCTTCCCCTGAGATGCAGCATCAGTATTTTTCAAAAACACTCTAGGTGACTCTAATGTGTTCCCAGGGGTGAGAACCACTGTTTAAAGAGATACATATTTAGATTAATATTACACATTTGTATTTTTAAAAATTACCCTTTTCTGTCATTTGATATCTAGGGTTATAACTACTTTGCTAATTATTTATAGTCTCTCTTTGTTCCTGATACATTGCAGGTAGTCAGTCAATCTTAGTTTTTAGTTTCCCTTCCTTGCGCTTTTCTTTTTAAACTATTATCCCTTGGAGTTTGATTTTGCATTTCCTCTATGTTGTATTCCAAACATTCGTGTGTTTTTTAAAAATATGTTTTTATTGATTTCAGAGAGGAAGGAAGAGGGAGAGACAGAAACATCAATGATGAGAGAGAATCATTGATTGGCTGCCTCCTGAACGCCCCCCACTGGGGATCGAGCCCGCAACCCAGGCATGCACCCCCAACTGGAATGGAGCTTGAGATCCCCAGTCCTCAAGTCGACATTCCATCCACTGAGCCAAACCAGCCAGGGCCAAACATTCTTGAGAAAGATATCCTGAAATATTTCTGAATCCTCAAACTTAAAGACATCAGAATACTTATATATTTTTCTCTCAGATCATATTTCCATTAAGAATATCTCCCTGCCCCCTGCACATATCCTGTCATGACAAATTTGTCATCTTTTCAATGACTATTTTTCTCTCTCCTTTAGGGACAGAGAGTTGAGAATAATCAAACCACCTTTTCACGCAGGTGTTGGGCTTGGCTCACTGGCCAAGGGTGGGGGGCAGCGTGTAATAATAGTGGTGCTGGCCATTAAATCACCAGTTTATATTGATTAAAGTTTTTAGGCACTTTTCTCACCAGCCATGTGAGGACTGGTGTGTAAGTCATATCTTGTATCTTTCAAGTATATACCAAAGCATCATAAAAGTGGCAAAGGCTAGATCTTGGGAGGGAGGGAAGAGGTGGTCCCCACGACTTGTCCTCTATCTTAACTGTTCCCACTATTTCCCCTACTTGAACTGTTCCCTGCTCCTTCCCTTTATCCATTTATTGATTTTGCTTCTGAATACTTAGGTTTTCCTGAGTCATTTAAATGAACCCCAAGTCTAGGGGAAATATGGATGTTGGAATCACTTTCTAAAGCCAGGCCTCTCTGCAGTGATGAGAAGTCAGAAATCATAGATGACCAAAATATAAACACAGTGACGCTTCTTGATGAGCAAATTGAACAGTAGTGTGGGAGAAGCAGGATTTGAATCACACTCAAACCCATCATTCTGGGCTTTTGGCTGGAAGGAATGTAGTTAGTGATTAGACCTGAGCACTCAAGTTTACCAGCCGTGAGGTCCTGACACCTTGCCAACCTCCCTGGACTGCATTTTCTCAACCATACGATGGGAATAATAGCATCCATCTCGTGGGGTTACTGAAAGAATAGCAAAGCCCAAGCTCCCTCGACACACACTGTATACATAGTCACTTACTCTGCCTACCCTTTAAGGGCAGGTCTAAAGAATGCAACAGGTGACCCCTCTAGGAGCTGCGATATTACCCCATCAAAGGAAAAGAAATCCTTCCCTTATTTCTGCAGATTTACAAGTCATAATTAACAGTGATTAACACAACACAGAACTTCTTTTTGGAAACCAACTTTCATTTGGGCCATAACACTTCCTATTCCCAAATCTGATGCTTGCTTTCCTGTGCTGATTCACAAAATGAAAGATGCTTACAGTCTTTCCCTTTGACTCAGTGGTGGTGCTGCACCAAAATCAGTTGCATGCACCCTCTGCCCCACACGCCCCTGCTCCCAGGGGGACATTGACAATGTCTGGCAAGATTTCTGGTTGCTACACCTGGGTGTGTGTGTTAGCGGCACCTAGTGGGGAGAGACAGGAATGCTGCCCGACATTGTAGCATGCACAGGAAAGGCCCCAACAGCAAAATGCCCACAGGCCAGTTGTGCTGGGATCGAGAAGCCCTGTTGTAACTCTACACTGTATCGATCACTGCAAAATGCTGACCTCAGGCCATTTTCAAGATCAGAGCCAAGTCCAGACTAAAGATTTAGGAGTCAAGAGAGCGGACATCAAAGTGTGGGTGCTGATGATCTAGTCAAGGTTCTTTCTATGAAGTAGGAAGTACACAGAATATGACTGAGGAACCAGATCTCAGTGCTCAGTTAAAATGGACAAGGTTCAGAATTTTCAGAAAACACGGCAAGACCAACATTCCTTTAGTGATTCAACAAAATGGCAGACTTTGCCCTCTGCCTTCTTCTATAATTCACACCCAATAAAACTGTGATCTTAACATCTAGGGCTACAAGGTGGCCAGAGAAGGGCAACCGTAGATCTGATGCTGAAACTTGAAACAGACCAAGAACATGTAATGATGACATGTGCACATGAACTACCTTATTTTTCAGATGTTTCTTTCATCATTTCTGAATATAATCACAATACTTGGTGCTGTGTTCTGCGTGCTGGTATCCTTGCAGGCTCTCTTCAAAGGTCCTCTCATCTGTAATTCTCCAGGCAACAGTACCTGTGAATTTTCAGTAGACAAATTAAGGTGAGTGACCTTTCCCTGATTGTCTTACACCGAAGCTACTTAGATTAGAATAATGTGGTGCTCACACAGCGACTTTTTTTTTTTTAAAATCAAACTACTGGGACAGATTCTTATGGATTTAGCACATTAATTCCAACTGGCAAAAGCTCATAAAAAGTGGAGGAATCACTACATTCAGAATGTTTCAGGTGTGGTCTTGTTGAAAAGGATAATGGACTCAGATGGCTTATCCTTACCTTAAAAATTCCTGGAAATACACAGCAGAAGCTTAACTTTCACCTTCAGAGAATGGTGATGAGGAAGCCCTGGGGAAGCACTGACGTTCCACACTTCTGAACTAATGAACTGTGTAAGCCTGAAGCACAGATTACTTCTATACTTTAAAAAATTGAATAGAAACCAAATAAATAAAATCTAGAGCCTTACTTATAAGCCCTAAAAGAAACGTAGCAGCAGATGGATTATGGGGACACACTATAAATAGATGTGTGGATAGGAATGAATTAAAAGTTTAAGTCACTTAGTAACAAATAATAATGAAGAGTTACAAGTAAATGGTTCCTTTCAGTGTTGTAAGATGGTTTTGTGCTTGCACCTAAGCACAATGTCAAAAACTGGAACAAAAAAAAATCTAATTCATTACTTCTCTCTATATTAGAGAATAACCAGACTTCCAGTTACAGAAAAAATTTCCCCTTCCTTTTCCTTTATCTTACATTAAAAAAGATAAATCTCTCAAAACTTTCATACAACAGTTGTTAAGAATCACAATCCAGACACTCCCTTTACTAAAGGATCTGAAATCTAAAATTAGAGAGATTTCAACCACAGATGCTGCACACGTTCTTTCAGTCTGTAGCAGATGACAGCTCACCATGTATCAGGCTAAGCTCCAGAGGTAACAGAACTCAAGGTATTCCCACTCTAGTTGGGGTGATAGACAGTTACAGAGAGTAAACGGTTACACACGAGGGATCCCAGGCTTGCTGCAAACTTCCATTTGTTTTTCCAGGTAGACTTGCAGTTGTTGGTACCCAAAATGCAAACTCACTATTAGCCTACTGTATAGTGAACCAAAGAAAAATGACCTCAGGATAGATATGTTAGGGTAAAATGTTTTTCATAATCCATACCTTGTTACAATGGGCACAAATCACTTTAATCACTCATATTATTTTTTTTATTGGATTTACTAGGGTGACATTGGCTGATAAAAATTATATAGGTTTCAGGTATAATCATAGTATTAACATGTCTCTCTGAGTAAAAACGGTACCTCTGGTTTAAGAGCAGATGCCACTGTGGTTTTGCACTAAGAATCGAGCTCCTTCAAAGGGGGAGCTCCTTTATTTTCACATCTTCAGCAAGTAGAACGTCTGCATAAATAGTCTGAACCACATGCAATTGTTGATATTCAACCACTTTTGACATAGAAAACATTTTTTGGTTTTTTGTTAATCCTCACCCGAGGACATTTTTTTCCATTGATTTTTAGGGAGAGTGGGAGGGAGGGTGGGGAGGGAGAGACATCCATGTGAGAGACACATATTGACTAGTTGCCTCCTGCACACACCCAGACCAGGGCTGGGAATGAATCTGCAACCGAGGGATATGCCCTTGACTGGGAATCGAACCCAAGACCCTTCAGTCGAGGGCCAACACTCTACCATTGTGCCACACTGGCCAGGGCTACATAGAAACAGTTTGTTGAAAGATGGGATAATGAACAAAAAGCTTTAACCTAGTATAGTATATAGACACATACCCAGAAAGCCTGATCTTAGCTATAATTTCTAGGCACATTTCAAAAGTACTTTGTTTTACTATACTTTCCTGGGCACAATGTTGCATTCTTTTGATGGCCACAGAAATTCTTAAACATCTTACCTTTTATTTTTCTGGAAGGATTTATCCCCAATCCTTCAATCTACAGTGGTACTTCAATGGATCTTGCGTAGCTCCTAACAGTTTAAATTCTTCCACCACGAATGACACCATGGCCAGTGACTTGAAAAAATACAACTTGCAAGAAAAGAGGCACAAGACTATCCATTTATCAGTATTTGTAGGCCTACTGCTTGTGGGGAGCCTTGAGCTCGTGTGTGCACTCAGTCAGATTGTCATCGGTTTCCTGGGCTGTCTGTGTGGAGTCTCCAAGCGAAGAAGTCGAATTGTGTAACAAAATGGAAATATAAGCAGTTTGAATCCTCTGAGAATTACATTTAAAAGATATCCTTTTAGAAGTTAGAAGTTCATTAACAGAACATTAGCTAGAAAGTTGTATTAATCCTTCTAGTCCAAAAGGTTGTTTTTAAGGTGATTTAAAAAAAAAATCAGCCTTTTACATATAATGTTGGTAAATGCAAACCACTTTCATAAGAAAAAGTAAATATCACCAGTAGTTGACTTTGGGGTGCAGTGAAGCTTTCAATGTGTTTTGAATCCTTTTGTGCTGTTTGAATTTTTTAACTCTACATTCTTGTGTGAGGAGAGGAAAAGAGGGAGGGGAAAGGAGATGGGTGATGGAGGAAGGGAGAACGAGAGGGAACAAGTTATCTTGGAAGTCGAAGTAGGGGACCTTTTCCTTGTATTTCTTTATACTTTAAGAAAAAATAACTATCTAACCTGAATGTAATCAAGTTTTTATACCGAATTCCTCACTTACTGGAAATCCAGGGAGAGAGAGACTCAAATTCTAAAGGTAGGACTGTAAATAGACAATAGCCTTCTGTTTTCAACAAGAAAATGTACAGGGAAAAAACAAGTGGAATGTATTGAGAAAACTATTTTATATTGAGAACAAAGAGATGTTATTCAACTAAATGTATTATGCAGACCTTGTAGGGAAAATAGGGCAAAGTTGTACAGGATTGGTTTGGGTAATATTAAGGATTTATTGTGAATATTTACGGCTGATAATGGCTTTATGGTAATATAAAAAAAGTCCTTATTTTTTAGAAATGCATGTTTTTGTGTTTGGGGGAAAATGTCATGTTTTTAAAATACGTCAACCAAAAATAAAGCAATTGAAAAATGTTCATTGTTATATAAAGGGACAGGAATATAGTGAGTCATTATACTTTTCTATTTTCCTATGTTTGCATTTTTCACAATAATTAAAGAACTATAAATACCTAGAAAAAATCGGTCTTTCAAAAGCTGGTTTCTATATATCATAATCTTTAAAAGACAACATAATAAAACAGTGTATTTACCATATTAAAATGATATAAAACACTAAAAATCTACAATTTTCTGAATGTGATCATTCCTGCTTTTTTTTCCAATTATTTATGTTCACTGCGCTTCAGGTTGTAGAAATAACTTAGAATACTTACATTATAGCTGCTCCTCAAAATTAGTAACATACAGGCACTTTCTTTCTGAATCCATTTGCTGTGTAAAGACCTTCTCCTCATGCTCTTATAAATCCCAATTTACCCTTAAAGTTTAACTTACATCATTTCTATTTGAGAAAGCTTTCCCAGAGTGCATGATTCCAATAAATCAAGTTAGCACTTACCCAAACTACTATTATCATACCTGTCACAATGTAACATAAATGTTTTTGCTTGTATGTCCATCATTATAAGACAACAAGGACCAACTAATGCTTCTCATCCATTAATTCATCAGCTCCTTCCTGCTTCAGGTTAGCAAGGCCTCTCTTCTATCCAGGCCCCCAATATTCCCCTGCCCAAGTCTAATCTCTGGCTAAGTCCTCTTCATCCTTTAGCACAAATATTCCTTTTTCTGAGAAGCCTTCCCTAACCACCTAATGACAAGCAGGTGTCCCCTTACCCTCCCTTAGCTCTTTTTCATTGATAGTACTCACCACAATGGTGATGGCATTTTTATCTGTACTTGCTTCTTAAATTTCACTTTCCCCCATAAGACCATAAGCTCCATGGGTATAGGGATATGTTTCTTTTACCCGCTCCTGGTATACTCAGTACCAAGTACAGTGCCTGACACAAAGTAAGGCCACCACTAGAAATATTCTGTGGAATCAATGAATGAATTCTATCTTGGCTACTAGGAATATTCTATTGAATGAACTGATGAATTCTATCTTTAGTACTTAGCTTTCAGCAAAGATTCAATACTTACTAAATGAATGTCAAACTGCTAATAGCCATAGAATTAAAACACAAGTGACTAACAGGACAGTTCACACTATGTAGCTGAACAACATGAGGGGCAGCGACAGTGCACACAATCTTTGCATCACCCTCCATCAGTGGTCGGCAAACTCATTAGTCAACAGAGCCAAATATCAACAGTACAATGATTGAAATTTCTTTTGAGAGCCAAATTTTTTAAACTTAAACTAGGTAGGTACATTGTTATTAACTTAATTAGGGTACTCCTAAGGCTTAGGAAGAGCCACACTCAAGGGGCCGAAGAGCCGCATGTGGCTCGAGAGCTGCAGTTTTCCAACCACGACCCTAGATGACCCAGTTCTCCAGAGTCATGAAGAGACAGATTAAGCCTCCCATTCCAGAGGGCACGAGAAAGGATGGCTCGAAGGAGCACAATCAGCTCAAGTAGCTGGTAAGTCATTTCCTTGCTATTTTACTAGTTTGCTGACATGAATTAAGTCCCTAAAAGCCTATGGACCACCTGTGTTGAGGTATCTTTTGGGGACATGCCAGCTTTGCTCTGGCACCTAAACTTACAAATGCGTATTTGTACACCCCCTCCCCCATGTACTTAGTCATTTACAAAGCTGTTTATTTCTCACTTCCACCTCCATGTTCAATCTTGTTTTGGAATCTTTACACTTTAATTTTTACTGTTATCCACCACGTGAAACACTCCACCCTCTCCCTATCCTTCAGCTGTATCTCAAATTGCTCTTCTTCAATAAAGTTGTTTTTATCATCTTCTAATTCCTTAATAAACCTACTCCCGGCCTCCTCCATTGATTTGTCAATTCCTTAAGAGCAGCACATAGAGTCTTGCTCCTGCCAAGCCCTTAGCTGCATGACTTGCGCCTGAGACAGAGACTTGGGTTCATGTAAGATAAGAGTATGTGATAGAGCTCACAGCATAGTATGATGAAACAAAATCTTCCGATCAACAAATATTGCTTTGGTTGACAGTTTATTAAATACACTGCAATTGTACCTTATTCTGTAGTTTTTTAAATCATTCACACATGAACTTAGTAAAAATGTCCCTTATAGAAAACCACCTGAAAAACTAAAATAAAAGCACACATATTTTACACACATATTAGATAAACTGCTGAAAATATTAGGACTTATTTTAATAATAAAGGTGAACATGAGGTGGCTTGATTTTATTAGTTCTAACACCAGACCATGACTTTCAGATGTGTTAATGCTGAATGTGGATGCGAGCATGTCTATTAACAAAACTGTTTGACAATGTTTGGGAAACAGATCAAAGTAAAGGATTTTTCTTTTACAGATACTTTTCTAAATCTATTCTCTACCTACCCCCATTCAGAGAATTACTTGTCCAAACTGATGTGGCAAAAAATTAATTCCTTTTAAAAAACAAATCAGAGCCTATTTACACAACATGCAAAGAGAGAATTTTAAGTAGGCGTTATTGCAGGACTAGTTACAAGGGAACACAGCTAAGTGGCAGAATATACCTTTACCTCTTCAAACATGAGTCTTTCCCCTTCCCTTCTGGAAGAAGTACATTTTCAGGGCGTGGACTATAAAATGGCATATTCAATGCAAACACAGAAACAAGGAAGTTTGCAAATTCTTTATATTTCCAGCTGTTGAGACAGTATTTTTTGAGAGCTGAGGTTACTCTAGCGGCGAAACCAGAGCCAGCTATTAAGCAGCCAGAATGCTACCGTAATTGAATACATGACCATTTCTCTTTTAGCACGTTCTTTGTTCTCCTCTTCTAGAAGTTGTAGACGTCGATTTAATTTGATTATCTAAGTGAAAAACAAAATAGAAGCATTAATGCAAGGAGTGATCAAATTCTTATAAAGTAGTATAATTTGTCAAAATAATTATTATAAACATGGGAAGTTTCATTTGGAGCAAAATAAAAAAAAAACTATATAGAAAAGTTACATATGACAGCTAAGATTCACTTAAATACTCTTCTCTCTTTCCCTTCTCCAAATTTCTGAGTTAGAAAGGGTCTATTTTCCTTCCCTCTTAAAAAAAAAAAATCCTCACCCAAGGATGTTTATGGATTTTAGGGAGAGGAGGGGGGGGGGGGGAGAGGGGTGGAGAAAGAGAAACACCAATGGGAGAAATATCAATAGGTTGTCTCCCACATGTGACCCCATGGGCTAGAACCTGCAATCCAGGTAGGGCGGGGATGGCCATTCCGATCATCTGAGAAAGTACCTCTCTTTTATCAGTGCTAAGCAACCACTTTTTTGTTAGGGTCAATTCAGTAAACAATAAAAGTGTTTAAAAATTACCTTTCCCACTACTCAAAATGAGTAGTTTATTTGGTTCCATAGGATACTATGTTCTTACACTACCAATCTTATTTTACTGCCAATAGAAAAGTGGCATTGCTTTAAATCATTAAGATATTTCTATCTGAGCATTTTTGAGTAGCTTTTTGTTTTTTAACACTTTTATTGATTTCAGAGAGGAAGGGAGAGGGAGAGAGAGATAGAAACATCAATGGTGAGAGAGAATCATTGGTTGGCTGCTTCCTGCACATCCCTTACTGGGGATTGAGTCTGCAACCAGGGGAATGTGGCCTTGACCAGAATCAAAACCGGAACCCTTTTGTCTTCAGGCTAACACTCTTATCCACTGAGCTAAATGGGTTAGGGCCCAAGGCAGCTTTTTAATACCCCCCACCCTGATAGTGGGTTACATTCTGTATCCTAAAGCTAGTGACCCTGAGCTGCTCATCACTACACTAAATGGACTCCAGACTATTGGGTTCCCAAACGGGCAATGGAGCAAAGAGAGCTGCAGAAGTAGCAGCTTCCCTTGCTGCCAGGTCATACAAATATAAATTCTGTAGAATCTTCTGGTGATTCCACTTATGTTAATTATCTTAGAAACTCATAGTTTCCCAACTGGCTTTCTACTCCTTTTAAAGTCTCAAAGCACGTGTGCGAGTTATTTATCTATAATAATAAAAGTGTAATATGCTAATTAGACCGGACATCCTTCTGGACATGAAGCTGGGGCTGCGAGGGAAGCCCAGGTCCCGGGTGCCTGCCGGCGGCCGGAGGGAAGCCCGGGTCTCGGGTGCCAGAGAGACGCTGGTGCCAGCAGCCGGGGGAAGCAAGGTCTACTCTTCGACAAATTTCGTGCATCAGGCCTCTAGTTTATAATAAAAGGCTAATATGCAAATCAACTGAACAGCAGAAAGACCGGTTACTATGATGTGCACTGACCACCAGGGGGCAGATGCTCAATGCAAGAACTGCCCCCTAGTGGTCAGTGGGCTCCCACTAGGGGAGCGCCGCTCAGCCAAAAGCAGGGCTCACCGCTGGTGAGTGCAGCAGCGGTGTCGGGAGCCTCTCCTGCCTCCATGACAGCGCTAAGGACCCCTCGGGGTGAACATCCTCTGAGGGATCCCGGACTGCAAGAGGTCACAGGCCGGGCTG